ACACCATGCTTGGGAGGGTGGAGGGACGGCGCAGAAGGGGAAGACCCTCTATGAGGTGGATTGATTCAGTGACTGGGGGTAATTGGGATGGGTGTGTCAGAGGCAGTGAGATTGACACAGGATAGAGCAGGTTTTAGGGCTGTTGTACATAGGGTCGCTATGAGTCACAAGCCACTTGACGGCACATAACAACAACAACAACATATCAGGATTCTTGTACAAAGAGCATATGAATTAGCCTTAGGAGCTGAGACCACCAAGGGAGGAAATGTCTCCAACACCCTTGGGTTGATTACTGTCCTGTGGCATATGGAAGTGTCTTAGAGATGTTTTTTGAAGTTTGACATTGTTCTTAAGTGCCGTCATAATCTTGTTTCCTGAAGAAGATGTGCAACATTTATTGAAGAAGTTCAGAGCATAGTCTTCAATACAGATTACAGCTCAACATAAAGAAAACAAAAATCTTCACAGTTGGACCATTAAGAAACAAAATGATAAACAAATCTTGCAGAAACTGAAGAAGATTTGAAACACTCATTGATGAATCTCAAAATGCCTTCAATATTGATTGTACTTCAACATAAAGAAGAGGGACCTCTACTGGCTTGGTAATAAGAGATTGCACAGCCAACACAAAGATATGCAGCAAGAGAAAGATGGACAATCTCTTCCTAAGAGATTAACTGCCTCTGAAAACCCACTGGAGGTTCAGCTATGGATCAATTCTGACTCAATGGTACACAGCAACAACAATATAAAACAAAAATTCTCACAAGGATACCAATAAATCACATTTTAATTAATAGATAAAATATTGAACTTGCCAGTGATCCCATTTTACCTGGATCCGCAATCAACATAGCTAGAAACCATGGTCAAGAAATTAAATGAAGAGAAAGAATGTCACTTAAAGAACTAAGGAGCACTTGATCTAAGCCATAATATTTGCAATGGCTTTATTTTTATGGGAAAGTTGAACTAGGAATAAAGAAGACTGTGGAAGAATTGAATTGTGGTATTAATTAAGAATATTGAATATATCACGGCACATCAGTTGAAACCCAACCTTGAAATAGGACAGAATGCTTATAAAAGTAGGGGGGGAAACCATCTTTGCCATCAAGTCAGAACCAACTTCTAGCTGATCCTTCCTCCAGTGGCTTTTCAAAGGCTGTGCATCACCTGGGAAGAGACTGTCCATCTTTCTTGTGCAAAGCATCTGGTGGATTTCAGCTGCCTTTAGTAGTGGCAGCACAACGTCCTACCCACTAGGCCACCAGAGCTCAATGAAAAAAAACTGAAGCCCCTCAATAAGAGGAATTGACACTTTGACTGTCACAATGCTAAGCACAGCAGCGATTGTGATGTGGTGCAAGATTTTGTTCTGTTATACTCAAGATCACCAGGAGTTGGGGCTACCTCCACAGCAATTGACAAGGGCCCTTTGGTTGTGATTGGATTATATCATACTTACTTGAAACAAGGCCATTCATAACTCCACAAATTCAGAGGCCTGCAGAGAAGCACAATGGAATATATAAAATATATTAAATAACTTATTTAGCAAAGTGTAAACAAACAACCCTATCCTACAGAGTAAGTCGCATATGGGAAGGAGAAACAATAGTTTTCAGTTCTATACAAACCCTAGATCTTCTGAAAGAAGCTTGTGAAAAAGCCTTAAATCCTTGCTTAAATTTCAAATCTGTAAACTCTTTTAATCCTAGTTAACCTCATTAAAAAAATAGATAATAAAGAAAATTCCAAACTTCTCAGTGCTTTGGCCTTATATTATGCAGATGACATTGACACATTGAAGTGTCTCCTGGTTAGAGAGTCAGTTCTGTACTGGAAAAACTGTTCCAATTAGTGAAAAGTCTCTGTGTCCTCAAATTCTTGTACAGGGTGCTCTCTGGCAGCACCAGTGCTTGGGCTCATTTTTTAGTTTTGTCTTGGCCTAGTGGTCTGGTAAAGGCTCACTCAGTTAAGCCCCTGGGTTCAGTAAAAGGTTTAGTAAGTTTCCTCAGTAAATGGTCATAACAAGTGGTCTCTTCCACCTGTGTGAGGCAACATAGAAGCTATCAGATACGTAGAGTGAGACATAGAAATATTTGCTTGTTTAAAAGGTTCTTTTGGGAAGATACCTCAGGTATTTGGAGAGTGTGGATGAAGCCTTTTGGGTCCAGTGATGGTTTGGGCTTGGGAGGAGAATTGAAGGCAGAATGTCTGTGAAGAGGGCCAGGTGCATGGGTGGTGAGAGGCCTCTCCTACGGGTGCCCTTTCCTCTGCTTTATCCTGCCCTGGAGACTGCCTCATAGAAATTTCCATTTTAGCATTGGTGCCAGTCCTAGATCTCTGTCCTCTGGTGAGCTCTCTGTTGACTGGGATCTAGGGCCCTGGGATGGTAAGCTTTTGCTATGGGCAATATATTTAT